TCCCTCCCTGCTCCCCAAAGTTGGGGCGATTTTCCGTAGCTACACCCAGCGCCATTAGTGGAATCCCAGAACTGCAGATCTTGGCGTTATTAAAGTGGTAACGAGTTGGCTGGGTGATCATCAGGTCTTGTTGTACTTTGGACAAATGGAAGCATTTTAGATTCTGTTTGAGATTCCAGAATAAGGAAGGAGGCTGAGAGCTCGCCTGCCGTCGGGAGCTGCCCTTGTTCCGCCATTGCTCGTTAGCGGCAGCGGTCGTGCTGCATCAGTGCTCTCAGCGAAGCGGGTATGGACGATTGTGTCCACTATTGGTGCAAATAAGAGAAACATTAAAGAAGTTGATCTTGGATCACTGAGGAGATGGTTGATGTGGCGTCTTTAAGAACTTGCAGTTATGGCTATGGGATAGAAAGTGCTCAAATAACTTTTTTTAGCTCTTACTCCTTGCTCCACTGTGAGTCGCACTGTGTTGGAAGCTACCTGTTTGCTCTTCTCCCTTCCTCCTTCAGACACTTAGTAAAGCTGTGGAGTTTCATAGTCTAGGGCAATTTATTGTATTTTTTTTTAAAGCAGGATATATAAATGATTCTGATGGGCATGCTGACCTGTCATGAGGCTTACATGGTCTTTTATTTGAAAGATGCATCCTGAAGTACCTGTTGTTAGGGGAACAGTATGTCTTTGTCCAAAATCCAAGGTAGGCATTTGCTGCTGCTTGTTTAGCTTGTTAAGAGTTTGGACAACTTCTGTTGTTGTGGGTTTTGGGTGTTTTTATGTCCTCCTGAAGATTAGAGTTATTTTGACCTTGAATTACTTGTCTGGGGGAGAGTATCTAATGATTGCTCTATTAATGCATTTAAATATCTTTTCCGTATTTGGTAAAACATTTGCGCATAGCTTTTCAGATTAAACGATGCATTTTCCAAGTCTATCACTCCTTGGTATTGCAATTATTAGTCTTCTGCTGCACCACTTGTTGGGAATTATTAATTGTTAATGTTGGAGATAAGCTTGTCAGTTTTCAGATATGCTTGGCTATTTGAATATTGGTTTATATCGATGTAAGTCCTGTTGAAAAAAAGCTAGGAAAAAAAATCTGTCCCTTCAAAGGTACCACGCAAACATGATTTGAGGGGGAAAGCAACTTCTTAGATAGTTTGTTCTGATTCTGCAGGTGTTTAGATTGTCTAATTATCTCTTTTATTTAAGATGTCTTAAATTGGTTACTGTGAACATTGACTAATTCACAGGGGGTCAGGTGGAAGCAAGATTGTGTGGGGTATCTGAGTACAGTCTTGAGCCTTTTTGAGCCTTTAGTACCTAAAGGTGGAGGTGTGCAACAGCCGTGGAATAGGGAGAGTGACTTAGAGGTGCAAGCACACTGCAGAGAGATAAAGAGGAGAGCTGAAAATGCAATTTGATATGTTTCCCAAAATAATTGGATTTTTTTCTTCTGTTCCCACAGCAAGTTAAATACTGCCTATTTTGGTTTTGTTTTGTTTTCTTCTTTTTCCAGATTAGAGTAAAATAAGGTAAAAGAAATCAAGACAAATGATCAGTCACCATATGTTACAGCCAGGAAAGAAGCTATGGTTATAAAACCTTGTCTCTGTATGGTTCAACTTGAGATAGCAACTTACAAAAGTTTGAAAGTATCCATTTAGATGCACTATTTTTAGTACATTCTTCCTGAATGTTTGTTTCTTTCCTTTTTTCTTTCTTTCCCATTGCTAGGTTGTGACTAGACTTATTCACTTGCTGGGCGAGAAGATTCTTGGCAGTCTTCAGCAGGGAGGTAAGACTCATTCCTGGACTACTCTCATTGATGCTGGTGCTTCCTTGGAGCTAGATTTACATCGTTAAATCTGGAGACAGAAAGCGCATACTTGAAAAGAGAATTCGTTGCTAAATATTTTAGCTGTTGTCACAAGTGAATGGTGATTTTATGAGATATGTGTGTACAAATTTTTTTTTTGGCGGAGCATGGCTAATTAAGTGTGGGAATGGAATGATTTGCTATTGAGATAGAAAAGCACTGCTGCATATGTGCAGTGAAATTTCCTTCAAATTTCTTGCAAGAGAAAGAGCTCAAAGGGAGCATTGGAAATAGCAGCTGTAACAGACTTGAATCAGATAGTCATGTTGAGTGGCATCTGCATGTAGACTGACTTAATATGCCTGTATTTGCATTATCTTAATGAATTGTCTGAGAGGAAATGGTCTGCTCTGGATTGGTTCTTAAGCTTTGTGTATGTGGCAAAGGCAAAACAAAGTATATTTACTGATTGAAGTGAGTAGGAGGAAATTTTCCAAATTTTGAGCAGCTTTTAAAAGGAAACAGATGCATGTTAACTACTGAGGGTGTTGTGAGGTTCTTTGCTGGTGGGTTGTTTGGTTTTTGTTTGGTTGGGTTTTTTTAATTCCTTTTATTGCTGTTTTTGCGGTATTCCAAGGAGACCAAAAATGAGGTAGCCAACTGTCATGTTTTGGAGCAGTCTTGGGGAGTGAATCTCACAGTCTGCTCTTTCTTTACATGCTCAGCTTTCTGTACACAATCAGTTGTGTACGAATCTCTAGTGATAATTGTACTTAAACTTTTGTGCACGCTGAAATGCCTTTGTGGCCTAGTGCAGAGTCCGCACTGCTTGGGAAATAGGGCAATATGCAATCTGGAGAAAATGGGAGGAAAAATAGTGACAGTAATAAGACTTCAATCAGAGAATCGCCACTGAAGTCCTGGAGGAGGGAAGGACTGGTGGAGATGAAGGAGTTGAGCAGTGATGTGTAACTCGTTTGAAACTACAAATATCTTCTTGAAGATTGCCAAAAAGAGTGGAAAAACTATTTAATGTTCTCTGCAGAGCTATTTTAGAAGACTTGAAATGAATAACTCAGTCACTGAATATATTTGAAAAAAGTTTATCTGATATTTCTGTGTGTCCTGCAGTGTACTGTTGATCTTGCATATAGACTTTGAATGACTTTTCATATGGTATATCAAATACTTCCATACGTCCATGTCAAGAATTCATCTTAATGGTGCATCTTAGGCCTTTTCTGGGTGAAATGAGATAAGCAGGACGTTAAATCCTGACTGAGATTACTAAGTTTATTGTGTGCTTGAGTGGATAGGCATTAGCAGCAAAGTAAGGTTGTCTGAGAAGGCTTAGTTAAAGAGAAAAGAAATAGTATCAAAATGAAAATAACAGTTTGTAGAACACCCCCATCATTGATTTTTTTCCTGTTCTAAGCTATCTAGAAAGATGTTTGTCACGTGCATTGCATGCGTCTGTCAAAAAATGCTTTCCTCTGCCCATACTCTCTGTCCTTACTCAGCTTACCATATTATATTGGAGATACTTCCACGATTACTTTGCAGCTACTTCATAGGTTCCATATTTTATTTTAGTATGCCTAAGCACATATCTGTAAAGCTCCACATTTTCCCATCTTGGAGAGAAGTGAAAATAGGTGGAGGTACACATTCCCTATAGGAACTTTGTTTGTTGAAAACAGGTATTTATTTCCTTGATCAGGAATACCATAAAAAGTGAATGTTAATTTTTGGAATATTTTGATACTGACAACAGGTTTTGGGGTTTTGTTAGTTAAGCTAATTCCTCTTGTGGGCTAAATCAATGCCTGTTCCAAAGTTGTGGCCATTCAAAGTGATTCAAAGTGCCTTTTTATCTTTTTCTTAACAGGTCAGGTAAATGCACATTGTATTTAACCTATTCCTGGCATCCAGATATTTTTAACATTGCCTGACTTTTACCCATGCATGCTATGTCAGCAGCCAAAAATGATGGAGATGGATCTTCATCCTCTTATGAATGAAATATGTGGGAACTCTTTCCTTTTATGTGATATGGAGGACATTACATTTATCTTAGGTTAAGCAATTGAGTGACACTTTCCTTGCTGCCTGACAGTTGAAAACAATGAAATGACACCTCGCTTTCTGGGTTGGCTGATGGCAAGTTTTTTCTTTTCGAACAGGTCATCCTCTTGGATTACACAGCTCGAGTAGCAAGTGGGATGCCGGAAATCCTGCCAGCAATCTCTCCACAGTAGCAATTATGCCAGTGTCTGAAGAGGTGCCACTTACGGCTTTTACTCTGGAGCTCAAGCATGCTCTCAGTGCTGTGGGTAAGAAGTGTTTACATCTTACTGCATCATGGGAAATAAATGCTTCATATCTTTTTAGAGAGGTACAGCCAGGTACCTGTCATTAGTCAAAGGTGGATTCATGCTGCATTAGGCGGGGTAGCGGTACAGCAGTGCTCAGGATCAGTCTTTTTCATGACCTCTTGCTTCTCTATTCCCATCCCTAATGTGCATTTAATTTTAGTGGAAAACGTTGTGCCCTTAACAACGCAGAAATACCAGCCAATCTGTCTGGCCTCTCGCCTTGGCTGCCATCTGCGCTCTTAAGGGCTGCAGGCAGTCCAGTGGGCAAATCCCACCATCAGTGCCTGTCTGAGAATCCGATTCTCTCTCTCTCTCTCTCTCTCTCATATGTGAGTCTTTCAGGCTTCCTCAATTGTACAGCTCCATCTAGCAAAGGATTTCTTACGCAGTTTTCTTTTGTTGAGGTAGTGCAGTGAGTGGTAAGCATGACTTGATGGAAGAGGCTTGTGGAGGAGATCCAGGTTGGCACTGGAAGTCCAAACTTAAGTCTTAAATGATTGTCCCATTTGTTGCCAGCTTTTTTGTCTTGTGCTCACAAAACCATGTATTCAGCTCACAGCTGAGTCACTAATTGCTTTATTCATTGGTGAAGTTGTGTGTGCAAGTTCCAGTTGCTCACAAAACCATGTATTCAATTCACAATTCAGTTCACGCTCCGTACTACAGTTTGACATTTCCTGAACATCCTCTTCTCATCCTTGTACACTATTGCAGATCTCTTGAGTAAATCTCCTATAGTCCTTTGATGAATTGTTAGTCTGCTATCTCATGGCTTATTATTTTGAAAAGTACAGGTGCTTGAGGTGCAACCACTTACATTTATTGGTTATTTCCTTTTTGACCATAAGGGTATCTGGAGCTGGCCCTTATTATTCTGCTTAAAAAAATCTTCTAGGTGAGCAGGCACAGGAGAAAGCTGTTGATGCTTGAACTCTTTCACCTTTTGAAGTATGAATTTGTATGCAGCTTTTGGTGGAGATGTGTTACAGTGAGTACTAATTTGTGGGCGTTTGAAGATTACTCTTATTTTGAGATGGCAGAAAAATTTTACATCCATAATGGAGCACAGATCTCAGCCGTAGCTATGTTGCTAATGGGTACTTCTTATGGATTGCTGCCAGCTTGTTTTGATGTGTGACAGTGCTAAGAGCCTGTAAATAAAACAAACAAAAACTTAAGTACATAGATGGACTGTTTGGAATAAAAATAACCATTCTAGTTGAAAGCAACTAGAACGTAACAAATGAGGGGTTTTGTTATGATCACTTAGTCTTTCCTCATTCACCCTTCTTTTTTTTTTTTTTTTTTTTTTTTCTTCTTTTCCTAAACTGATGCCTGTGTAGCGCTTGGCAGCTATAGATGGTACTATACAACCTTGGCATCTGAAGTTCTTGCCAAAATGGAGCAGACGGCTGCAGTGGGAAGAGGAAAGTGTTGTGTGAAAACACAGCTAGCCATATGGTTCAAAACACAGCTGGTAGACCAAGCTCTCTGGCCTTGATAGCCTCTGGTCGTCGGGTCAGCCTATTGCTTATTCAGCCCCACAACACCGGGAGACAGCGGTTAACCTCCTGCTAGTGCCTTACAGTGCTGAGGGTTTTTTCATGCAAGCTGTATTGTGGTTTTTTTGGGTTTTTTTGGGTTTTTTTTTGTTTTTTTCACCAGAAGCAGCATTCTGGGGTGTTGGTTTTTTTTTTTTTTTGGTAGCTTTTGTATTTTCTCCTTTATCCTATGGCTATAAATTGTTTGGGTATTTCTTACCGGTGCGTGATAACGTGCTCTGAGCGATGTGCCAGATGGTGCATTGCTCTGAGGAAAGGGGCTGGTTTTGGAATGATTTTTCTTCTGACTTCTTACATCAGAAAATGAAATGAGTAGTCAGTGTTGTGAAGCAAAATTTTGGTTTATTTTTAGTTTGTCTTGGTATTCACCTGACCATTAGAGCTGTGTCTGTTTTACATGTGGGGAAATTGAAACGTTATGTGAAAAGATTTGCATTAGGGCCTTGGTGAGCAGCTGGTGTGTTGGAGCTTGGAGCCCCTGCCACCTGAGCACTTACCTGTTCTAACTTTCAAATTGGCTACTTGGCACTTGGGGTTTGGGTGTGAACTGCCATTAGATGTTAAACGTATTTATGGAAGTGAGAGGTGTTATTTAATATGCTTGAGAAGGCTTAATTGAAAATCTTTCTCATAGAAAGTCTGTTTCAGTGCCTGTGTTCCTAATTTTGAAAATAAGGGGGTTTGCAGTATAGATTTGCTGCTATTGGCATATTTTTTTGTTTTTTCTAGAACAAACTTTTTGTTTAATTGCAAATAGTAGTCAGATGTTGCCATTTAACACTTGACTTAACATTTGATCCATATTGTTTCATTGCTCAGGGCTTGAAATATGTTCCAGAGCAGTGGAGGGTAGCCTTAGTATGTGGGGTGAAAGCAGTTGTTTTTAGCTTTCTTTTACAGCTTAATATATTATTTTAGAAAATTCCTTACTCTTCCTGTTAATATTAACTTAGATGAATATTGCAGTGATGCCTCGAGTCCTCTTGCTGCAGGTTGGAGACAAGAGGTTAGAAGAAATTAGGAGGATGCAGGCAGTAACAGGAGGCTGCCCCTCATCCCGGGGAGAATGGTCGGGATGCAGACTGGGTTGTAACACAGCCTGTAAAATTAGATTAGAGGATGGTTTTTCTTTTCCTGGAACTAGCATTAGAAGGCTACTGGCAGTGCTATGAGTTTGGTTGCAGATTAATCTATTTAACAGGATTTTTTTTTTGTAATTTTTAACTGCTTCCATCTTATTAAAGGACTATAAAAATAATGACAAATAGAATATCTCAGTCTTATAGTGGGAGCTTCATAACACCATGAATTAATATATATTATCCACAAGAACTGGAAAAGTATTCAGAACCTTTCCCCCTCCACGCCCCCCAAGACACTTTTGCCTGTAATGAGGCAGGACTTACTGGTTTAGTTGCTTGATTCTGTTGTGGGGATTTAATTTTTTTTTTTCCAATTTTTTTTTTTTTAAATTTGCAATGGGAACACCTCACGTGACCAGACTGGCTTTATGGATCCCAGAGTGTGCTGGCCTGGCTGGCCACATTATGCTGCATTCTGCACGCAGGTAACATCAACGCATGGTACCACCCACAGCTTTATCCAACCAATTTGTGCTGGTTTCTTGGAGTTTTGGTGGTTTTGTGGTTTGTGGTAATTCAGATATTGTTTCCAGACAGTGTGATTTTGTCCCAATTAAATACTGAGATGTTCATGTTTCCGTGGCATTTGTTCTGTTAAAAGCTGGGCGGTGAAGCAGTTACTTGGTATCTGACAGCAGTAACTCTACATGAGCCTTCATCTTGAGACATTATAAATGTAAAATATGATCTGAGCATTGAGGAGAGAGCAGGAAAGTCCTGCATGGTGAACTGGAGGCATGCTTCCTCACTCTGTTTGCTTGTATGCTTCAGTGTAAAAGCCCTTTCTTTGAATCTTGGTCTTTGGGTCTCCAAAGAAAAGGGTGTAGAATGTAAAACTTGCAAAAAGCAGGGACAGAATTTTCCACTTCTGAACTGGTGGGCAAGTTTTACTGCTGTGCAAAGTTTCAGGTTAGGATAACCATACCGATGAATTCTGGTCAAGGTCTGTAATGTCTCTTTTTGTTATTAATATTTTTTCCCCTTAATCCTGGTAGAGCTGAGAGTATCTCTTATGAAAAAGGTCTTCTGCAGTTTTCAGATTTTTAAAAAGTATTTGCCTAACTTTTTTTTTGTTCTTTTACTGAGACCAGCTAAATGATACCACATGGCTCATGGTGTATAATTTCAAACTGAAGTAGAGAGGGATTCAAATCCAACATCTGTGTCTCTCTCCTTCCTTTCTGCTCTTTAAAGATAAGCTTTCTTTTAATTTCTAAAAATGTGTAATGTATTGGAAAGCTCACTGAAATATCTTTACTAAAAATTTATTGGAGTTTTTAATTGTAGTTCTGCCTGAATTTCCCTTCTTTACACACAGATTAGATTTAAATGTTAAGTATTTAATGTGGTGCCTGGACCCTGGCACAACTTGGTATTTTTTGCTGGGCAAGATCTTCTGGCACTGGGACATCAAACTCATTTCTCAGTTCTGCCTCTTTGACACATAATTTTGTAGACTTTTACTAGGCCAAATATAAATTCTCTTTTAATGAAGTAAGTTTGCTGCGCTAAAAGTTTTCCACAATGTGTTTTGGACTTTTGTGCGAGTATTTTTTCCAGGTGAGGTGGATTTGCAACCATTTCTAACCATCAGTGATCAGTTCTTGATCTCTGGACCTCTGATTTCTCTGGGCAACTTTTTGACCATGTTTTATTAGACTTTGAACTAGGATATCTGTATTCCCACTCCTGCATATCTTATGAAATTGGTATTATGTGGAAAAAAATCACCAAAGTGAGTACCATGCTCATCTTTGGAAAGAAAGGAAGAGTTTTATGTCTCATTTGTGGTGCTTATGTCTCCTTACTGGGGCAGGATTTGAGCTTGGAAGCCTTGCTGAAGGGCTGTCTCAACCCTTTTCTTGAGTGCCTTTTATTCTTAAAAGATAAAATGAACTAAACCTCTGATATTTGGCAGCATTTTTTTCTCCTCACTTCTCTTTCACAGAATTGTAGTTCTGTATTGAAAAACAGATGACTCTCGAGTTCCAATTCAGATGCTCCGTGAGGTTTCCCCTGAATGATGATCCTCTGTGCCTGGGGGTAACACTGCTGCCATGCAGTTTTCTCACCTGAAGCGCATAAAAGCCAGGATTCAGAATCTCAGCGGGTTGGCTGAAAGAAAAAACCTCCAGGGGCTATTAAAAGTCACCACCTCTGGCTTGAGAAATTCATAAACTGCGAATTGCTGGAGGCTCGGAGAATGTCATTAAGTTTTCCTTGCTCTAATACTCTTCCCCAGCAATCTGCTGCTGGTTGCAGTCAGAGAGACACTGTTGGGCTTAGATAAATATTTAATGTTACCTTATATCACCTCTCCTATGTTCTTAACTTCGAGCTATTCACCCCGTGTCTAATCCTACTGGAAGAGAACAGTCCCTGAAGGGTGCTGGAGGGTGGAGGGATGTTTTCATGATGCCAACTGCAGCTGTAAATTGCCTGCGAGGCTGATGTCAGGTGTGGGGAGAGCGTCACTAGATGATGGTGTGTAACTACGATAATGCGTGTTGAGGATGCGGTAACACATCATCTTGGACATTCCTGCCTGCTGGTGTGGCTGTTTGAGGGGTATGTACTTGAGAATGATTTTTATTGCTTTGTTGCTCTCAGCAGTTTAGTTTAAATAACACTTTTGGTCATTCTGTTTCATGCATTTGAGAACGCATATGTTGGTGTTCTTGATCACATTAATGGAGGGTTATTTAATGGTTGATTAATTGGGAGCTTGGTAGAAATTGGAAGTGTAGAGCAGATGGTTGTTATTTCTGAAGCAAAACGGAGTTGGTTCTGTTGGAAGCATCGCCATGTTCTGTGCTGGGGATGAATAAAGGTCTGGGCATCTTCATCCCGCACTGCCGGTGTGCAGAGGAGGTGCTGGGCAGACTCCTCCTGAGCCGGCACAGCTGTGTGTCTGTCTGTACACATGTATTTGTGTCATATACTGTGAACTGCTTCTTTTCCAAATACAAAAGTGAGGTGAGTGGATGTGATTTCTGAAGTCATATGCCTCTCCAAGGCTCTTTCGATGCTTGATGAGGATGTGTTGTCCCCATTCAAGATACCTGTGGGTCAAGTAACCGTCACCTTGACTAACATAAAGATGCAGCCCAGCTCTACAAAGTCTGCCTCTCGCCTTGTATAAAGGGTGTTCTGGCTGGCTGGGTCGCTGAGTTTAATGGTTTCCCCTTAGGGCACGTGCCCCCTGTGCATCAGATCAGTACGGTGCACTCCAAGCGCCTTTGCTGATGTTCTTGGATCTCAGTGACCGTGTGCAGGGAGGTAACAGGCAAATGCGGAGGTGGAGCACTCTGTTCCCTCCTCGTCGTTAGTCTCTTACTTGACACTTTTACTGTATTCCTCAGCTCATTTTACATTCCTGGCTGTTCGTCTGCACCTAGTAAACTTCCACCGCTGTCATAAAGCTTTGTAAGTCTCATATCCTGGAAGAATATTTGGTCTACATATCATTTCTATTTTGCTGAGAACTTTGACATATTAATGAACACAAATGATAACTCTGCTCTTGAACGCTTTTTCAAAATGTACCTGCCCTCTCTCCCTTGCTGTCTTCATAGCATGCAATGTATTTCTTCTGGGAGACCTCTCTTAATCCCATTACCTCATCCAGAGTTGTGCTAGCCCAACTGTTTGTGATGCTGAATGGTGAACCAGATCAAAGAATCTAACACTGTTAAAAATTAAGTGGTAAAAACCCCCACAAGCACTGGGTCTGTTCCCTGCAAACAGACGGTTCAACGAGCACAAACGGAGGAGCAGCACAGAGGCAGGAGTGAAGGGCAGGTTAAACCAGTTCAGCTCTTGACATGATTTTGAACTAATTTCCTCTACTTTGGACTTGTTGCTTTCATAGGAACCAACTACCATAAACTTTATTGGAGGATGAGGAAATTAAATTCTACTCTCAAGTCATCCTCCTTTCTGTGCTTTCTTACCAGCTTTTACTTTTTATCTTTTGGTCTCCACTTACAGGATATTTTTGTCCATTTTTGTTTGCTCTTCCTTCATTGGCAGTGTAACGAAGAGCAAACATTATTTGGATGTTTGAAAATACAAGATGAAAAATCATACTTCTGAGGTTTTTTTTCAAGTCTAACACTAGAGTATGTTAAAACAGAGTGAAGTCTTTGAAGGAGGAATTGAGCATTGTGGGGTAAATGAGTTGGCCCTGAAGGTCAGGATGGCCAGCTCCAGGTACTGTACTTGTGGGTTTTGCTTTTTGAGCCATAAAAGTGTGAAATTGTGACCCTTTACCATCTTGTTCATTCGTGGTTCCTTGATTTTTACTAAACATATTAAGCCATGCTGCTTTATTAAAGCCTTGAGAGACCTCACATAATTAAGTGTTTTGTTATTTCATACATAAATTTCAGTTCTTTTATTAATGAAAAAATGAAGGATTACATTATGAAAACTTTAATACAGAGCAACTGCTCTTTCATGTTTTGTGAATGTGAATTTCTCTCTCAATATGAGACAAGTAATCTTTTCTTTAGGTATGCGGTTAATCCCTAAAGTTTTCTTTTCTTTGCTTTTTTGTATTTAGCTGCAGTTATTCTGCAACCTCCACCACATATGGCAGGTATTGCTGCTGATGAAATAGAATTGCTAATAAGAAAAATAAAGTGCCTGCAAGAATTTATGTGCACCAAAATTCCTCTCAGATATGGTGTTGTTGCCAGATGTGTGCGTATGCCTATCTCTACAGTGGAAGTAGTGTGAATTGAACTGTGCCCTGCAGATTTGGAAGTCTCTTTCTCCTTGGGGTTGGTAGTGGTATAGGTTCCTGTTGGCATGTAGAATAAGTAGTAGTACTACTATAGAGAGCTTTAGGATTCATCCGGGGAGTTGGTTCAGTGCAGGATGAACAACTTCTGTATTTCAATAGGTTGGTGAAATGGCTTTTTTTTCTTTGAAACCAGATTCCTGGGCTTTCTATGGTTGCAAAAGGTACATGATATTCTGAATGTTGTGTTTGTGAAAATGCAGCTGCAGTAGAAACTGTCATCCTACGTGACACTGAGGAACGCGATAAAAAAGAGCTTGTAGGTTGCGACTAATGCAGTAACAGAGCTCTGGGAATATGGAGAATGGGAAGATGTTGCTGTACATAAGTGTGAAAATTTTTGTGAAGGCTTTGTGCCAGCTCTTTCTTCTACAACAACTCTGGTCAATGCACAGCTGCATCATGATCTTCAAAGCAAATTCACAGAACTGCATTTGTTATAGCTACATTTTCTCAATACAGTTTGTCAGGAGCTGAATGGCAGGTGTTCACACATGAAACTTCTCGTTCTTCCAGGTCCTGCTTTGCTGCTCACCAGTGATAACATCAAACTGCAACTTGGTTCTGCTGCGCTGGATAGGTACCTGCCCTCATTATTACTTATGAAAAAATGCAGAAAGATATTATGCTGGTCTGTATATAAATATACAGTGTTTGGGAATAAAATCCTGTGTTCTAATACATACTGTGCTTTCTCATCAAGGTGTTTGAGACAACAATGTTTCAAGAGTATTTAGTTCAAATGTGGGTTGTTTTTTTCCATAGTTACTTTCTCAGTTGTGAAATTGGAAAAGCTGAATTGCTCCAAGTGGGTATTGTGTACTCGTTCTTAGGAATGCCATGGAAGCCTTACTGAAGTTAGGCATCACTGCATCCTCTTTCCTCTGTGTATATATCTAATGGTGTAAATAATGGAGAAATAAAGAAAGCATGAGCCTGGAAATGTGGGCAGATAAGGTTCTTAGACTGGACGAGCAAGAGATGCAGGTCTCTGATGCCCTTCAGATTTTGTGCTTGACATGTAAGATTTCTCTCTACATTAGGAGTTATGATATAAAACCCTTTGAATTTGTTTTTTTTTCTTTTCTGTCCCCAGTATCCGTGAATACCGACTAACTAGCTGGCTGGGACAGCAGGAGGATATTCACCGTATTGTACTCTACCAGGCAGACAGCACCCTTACTCCCTGGACTCAGCGCTGCATCCGGCAGGCTGACTGCATCTTGATCGTCGGACTGGGAGACCAGGAACCTACTGTCGGAGAGGTGTGGAAATAGCTGCTGCTCATATTTGCAGTGTTAACAGTCCAGATTGAGGAAGGTTGTTTCATACTCATGAATTTTCCTGGGTTTAATACCCAGTGAAGGATAAATAATGAAATATTCCTGAGAAACGTGTATTATAAATAGAAAAAGAATTGAATGATGATCCTCTGAAACGGCAAGTCTTACGTAGAAGTATTTCCAGCTAAGTTCTTTTCCTCTAAAGAGTCATTTTGGCCAGGGTAACTCAAAAGTCAAATTGCTTTGAAGCTTTGCATTTCTGTCCAGAATTTCTTTGCAGGATATCCAGATAGAGAGAGAAATTATTTTCTGCCTGGATGGAATTCATGGTGTGTGCCTAGGAAAAAGTAGATAAATAATTGTATTGTATGAATAATTTAATATATTTTATTACAGCTTGTAAGCTGTATTTTTTTTCCCCCTTGCTCTCTATTTTTATTTTTGATATTTTATTACCGAAGTTGTTTGTCCAGGCACATAAATTGTGCAAGAATGAGGTCACAAGTGGGTTTTTTAGAATTGTGAAGTGCTGAGTCTGACCTCCAAAGAGCCTGGGACTGGTACCATCTGCAGTGTTCTTGTGTGTCACTTTGTGTTGGTTCTTCATGACTGTATGTGGGAGGCAGGAAGCACAGTAAAAGCCAGTCGCCATCAGTTGCCTAAAACAACCAAGAAAAATAAGGAATGCAAGGAGTAAAAAGCGATCTGACTGGAAGTGAAAGAACAAAACATGCTGAACATTTTTAGGCTTAAGTATGACTTGGGAAGCAATCTCATTTTGCATGAACAGCGTGTGTCTGTGCTGTGCATTTAATGGTCTTATGTTTTAGGTGAAAAGCATTCATTTTTAAGTAGTCAGGTTTGAGTCCTTGTCTGATTTTTAGAGTTCTGTGTGCCATGTAAGCCCACAGCTAACAGCATAGTTGTCTAAATCAATCTTGTTTGAGGGTTCTTAGTGTGCATAGTTGTCTGCAGATTCAGATAGGAATAGGGGTCAGATGTGTGTATATATGTGTGTGTATGTATAGATATGTATTTCACAATACAGTATTCTGTTGAACTGGTACTGGAGCAGTAAATACCTGACGCCCCCATTCCTTTGGTGCGTATAACGTGCTGTAGCTGGAGAGGATGCTGGAGAACACCGCCGTCCGAGCCCAGAAGCAGCTCATCCTGCTCCATAAGGAGGATGGGCCTCTCCCTTCCCGAACTGTGGAATGGCTCAACATGCGGAGCTGGTGTTCTGCTCATCTTCATCTCCGCTGTCCACGCAGAGTCTTTTCCAAAAGAAGCCTGCCCAAGCTGGTAAGAGATTCCTGCTTTGGTGGCTGGTCCTTTAGCTGTAGTACCTTACTTGTAATCCATGTATCAAAGGTAATCTGATATAATGTTATTACATGATATTCTGATGTGCAACTGACTGTTACACAGATAGTGTTCTCTTAAATCTGTTTGGCCTAAATTTACTGTAGGAAACATAGCGATAAGGGGCTTATCTTCCATATCTTCTCTATGGATGTATACTTGGCTTGGCTGAAGACAGTAAATACTATCTCAAGGACATATTGATAGGTGTGTACATGTGGTAGAGTCCTTTTCATTGGGATGATCCCCATGCTTGTGAAAATCATGCTAAAGGTAAAGCAGAGGCAGACTTGGGATGCTTCCCAGTAACTTCAAATCTTTGTCAAGAAAAAGAAATAGCTACAAAGAAAATACTGTACTACGATGAAATTCTCCCAGCTGCTATGAAAGTCTGAGAGATGCATATGATCCCTAGAACTGTTTGGATAGTTCATTAACCCTCTTTTCGTTTGAAGAACAACTATCCACTTTTTAACAGTATCTTGTTGGCTGGTAGTGTAAACTCTACCCTGTGCCTTTAGAATGACCATCTTCTGCCTCTCTTCTGCAGATAGAGATGTACGAACGCGTATGCCAGAAACCACCAGACCGTCACTCTGACTTTTCTCGCCTGGCTCGTGTTCTGACTGGAAACGCCATTGCACTGGTCCTTGGGGGCGGAGGAGCAAGGTAGGTGGCTTGTCCTGGGCACGCTGGTGCGTTGCTACCAGATCCTAGAGCACCACTGTCACTGGGCTGGGACAGATTCTTCAGGCTAACAGGCATCCTGTAAAATTAGCACTGTTCTGTAAGCCACATTTGGGGAAGACACTAAGGAGTTGCTTTTCTTATGCAAACTTAACCTGCTGTGTGGATTTGTGCTTGGATTTCTGCAGAAGGAACATGAGTGTTTCTGACCTCTTGAGACCTCTCATAAGTTGGGCTTAATACCAGGAGATGACCAGGGCACTAAATATGACTCTTCTTTCTTTTGTTGGCCTACATTATGGATATTCTTTTTTTCCCCTATGGATTCTTATGTTAGAAAATGGCTCACAATATTTCAAAGGCCCCCAAAGCTCTTCAAAGCTTGCGCAGCAAGAGGAATTATGTCCTCTAATGGACGAATGTTCTCTTCTTTATAATCACCCAAAACCCCAGGTACCGATACACTTCTGACAGCCTTATTTTACAGAAAGATTGTATTTTTGCAGACATGGGGGCAAGGTGTGTGCTGAACACTCTATTAGAATTCCATCTGAATTCCTGGTGAGCTTTGGAAATAAATTATTACTGATGTTTTTCTCTGGAATCCCTTTTTACTTTGAGAATTTTATCTTGAGACAGAATTTAGTAGCCCTTTGTCTCAAGAGAGCGCCGTCTTTGTTGTCTTCATCACCGTGTTCTTGAAGCCCTTCTTTAAAACAGTGCTTTGAAATACTGCTCTCAAAAATAAAAAATACAATATGCACATAGTCTGTCTATTTAAAGCCATGGAAAGATCACATTTTTGTCTTTGGGCCAGTGCGTGCTTTGGGGGGAGTATTTGCTACGGTAAAGGTTAGAGCTCCTTTGTGACAGCTTGTTAAGATTAGTCACTTGATGCTGAGACAGCCGCTGCTTTGGCTGTTTCTGTGAGTGTCTGCAAAGATGCCTTTATCCTGCTTGCTTTCACAGTCTCCTCACCTAAGATGATTTCAGTATTTCATTTCTGAGATAAACATTATCCTGTAGAGACACAAAGTAAAGCAGAGGAGGGGAGCTGCTACTTAATCTGGGTATCTCAGGAGGCTTCTAACCCACTGATGCAAAGCACTCGTGGTGGTGGTTTTTTTGTTACAAGCTATCTGATATCTCTGTTTTTACTGAAGCCTGTGTCATGCTAAAATATGTGCACTTCTATATTTCTGGCAGCACACTTTGCTCATTCCTTTCCTTTCTTCCTTCTGTAAACACTGCTGTAATTTTTGCCAAACTATTTATTTTTTTGTTCTACTACTTAATTTGCACGCTACCACCTGCTGGTTTTCAAGAGCAGAGGTAAGAAAGAGCAGGATTATTGAGCCTGTTTGTTGGTCCTGTGTTGTCCTCCTCCGCAAATCTGAACTGCTGCACTGCTGTTGTGTTGACTTCAGGATTTCTGGATGCGCACCACCCATTCAGCCATGTGACCATGTCCCATTAGCCATTAATTTGCTCATTTCTGCAATATGGAGGTCTTTAAGAGGATTAAATGGCAGAATGGATAAATACGATAATTTCTTCTTTCTTTGAAACCCTATTTATATCATGGTCTAAAATGCTTTTTCTGGGGGTTCAGGCTGGCATGTGGATGGTGTCAGCATTGTACTTCCAGTGGAAGGGTACTTGTATGCAATTTCTGTAATTGAATTGTCATTAAATTGTGGTTAGGCGAAAGATTGGGATCTTTTTAAAAGTTGTTTTCAAAGTGAGGATATAATTAAAACTCTGGGGAAAACATGAAGTTATTCTGAACTCTGTAAAAATCTGCCTTTGGAAGGTGCACAGGTCAAAGTAAGTTCTTAGGTCCCTATCTCTACTAACAAGGGAACTTCAAGAGATTATGCACTAGGTACCTAAAATCATCCTGTGATTAAAGCCCATTCTGGCTAAAAACATCTTGATGGGTCGCTGCGCAGAGTCTTGATAGTTAACGTAGCTTTGGGATCATACACTACACAAACCTCCTACCTTGTTCTAGAAGCATGAATCATACTGGTCACAAAAAACAGAGAGCGCTAATAGTTACAGGGTGCTGGCTGGTTGTTATTTCTGTTAAAGGTATTGTGTTCTATGACTCCAATAATATCAATTATTTAGGTGTTATTTTGGGAATGTTTGTCTGGCTTCCCAGTGACAGTTAGTTTGGAGGTTTTACCAGAGCAGCTTCCTAGTAATTATCTTTGTGGTTTGTCATGACAAAAGGCGCATAGGAACTAAAGGTTTTCTTTCTCTGGTGAGTATAAAAATAAAACAAATCGAAGTGATACAGTTCTAAAATTACAGTGTTTTGCTTTTGTTAAGTGCTAACTTAATTTCAGTTATGAACATTGTGGAGTTTGAGGGAAGGAAAGGGGATTTGTGTTTAGAAAAACAATACCTTTGAAATGCAGTTGCAAGAATAATGACACATCAAACCCTGCAACAAGGGCACAAACCCTCCCATAAATCGTTCTCATGACCTTTAGCCATCCCACGCACAGCCCACCCTTTTTTTTGTTTTCTATAGTTGTCTTAGTAAAGCTGCTTGAAAACTGAAATTTATGGGGAGTAAATAATTAATACAGAAGTATCTGGGAATCCCTAGGGCTTTGGAAAAAAAAAACAGATCGTGCTGTTTCAGAAGACTGACTTAAGCAAAATTGTGATGACAAGCTTTATTGTTGACTATAATGTCATTATTCTAGGAGCGAATTTGGTCCAACCTGCCTATTCCACATAGGCACAATGGGAAAATACAAAGCGTTAGCCCTCTTCCAGTTTGGTTATTTTGATGAGAAGCTGTATTTGTAGTAATGCACATGATACAGATACATGATGTGCCTAAGATATGCTTGTTGAGAAGGAAAGAGCTATTATTAAAAGAAGTTACTTGCCTTTTTTGGATGCGCTCTCTAAAATAAGGCATAATAATCAGCTGCACGTTCATGCTGGGAATGAATGCAGGTGGTGCCAGAGACCCTTACCAGCTGGTGCTCGTGGAGTCTGCACCGTCCTTGCTACGTGATGCACGGGTGGACGGGGCTCTGCAGCACACTGTGTCTTTCCCTTCTCTCCGCTGCCCTTTCCTTCAGGCAGAGCATTTAACCCTTCCCTGAGGAGCTGCTGTTGAAGGATATTTGTAGATATTTCATCAGGGCATCTTTTCTTTTCTCATTTTTCTGTTTAGTTTTCTCCTCTAACTTATTATTTCACCTCAGCTCTTGATACGTTAAGTAGTTTTTTTCCACAGCGCTTTCATGCTGACTCTAAGGATTTGACTCAGGCTCACACCTTTTCATTTTGGGCAGTTGGCCTGTTTCATCAACTTGTTCTTTCTGCCTTTTCTTCTTTGTTTTCAGCTCTGGTCCTCTGAAAAGGGAGGATAAAAGCAGCAGCGTAGGAGAAGCAAGTTATGCCTTTCTTGTTACGGAGATATTTGTGTCTGATGAGCCCACTTGTTGCCATGTCTGTCTGCCTGTGCTCCTAAAGCCTGTGCCATACGCAGGGCATTCACACTCCGTGCTTTTAGAGAAGGCCAAACGTACAGGTCCATCTACCCCCTGGTCACTCGTTGACTCACTGCTGCGCTGAGCCTGACTTGGGTCTCTGTGCTCCTTAAAGCCTGGCTTTATCTTCTGATTTGATGGCTTTACCCAAGGATGAAAAGACTAGAAGAGTGCCCAAGAGGCAGAACTCATAATTATTCTGCTCTCAGGAAATCACATTTGCCTTCTGCACCCCCAGTGTTTGACTCCAAGACCACTGATAGCATGAGGAATGAAACAGGCTTTACTGTCGCTGCATCCATTATGTTTGGCTGCAACTCCAGTTCATTCAGGCAAGTCTGAGTAAAAACCTGCTTATCAGTCTTGCTTACCTTCTCTGCCACCGGACACCGATCCCTTGGCACTGCTGTTCATCCAGAAGGCGCAAAGACAGAATTGGTTTATGCTTAGTCTGCACTGGGACAAAGACTTGCAGCTTATGAGTAATCGCTAGCATAGTCAGGTTGGGCAAAACCGCATTCTGCAGTTGGAAAGAACCAAGGGACATACAGCTCAGATTGTCCTATATACGTGGGTCAAGCAAGGAGAAGGTAGGGCACGCCCACACCCGCCGTAGGATGTGGTGGGGGCACATGTGCATCTCCCAGTGCAGGTACAATGAACCCTTATTTGAAGGCTGGGTCCAACGTGACAGCATGTTGAGAGGTTTCCCAGCTGTCACTGTGCCCCTTTGTGTTTCTGAGCAATCATGGTAGAGAAGGATTGATGAAAAGGTCCCAACATAACATAAGGAAGAACTTGAAACAGTCATTTTGAGAACTTTAGAAGATCATATTCCTTTTCTGAATGTTAATGCATGCTTTTAGCATGCAAGTTTGGCTAGGAGGTGAGGAGCCCTTGCATATGAACAAACCCTGTAGTGCTTCCCCTGCTCCATCTTGTTTAAAAAGGAATTGAATTTGGGTGTTGATGACCTGGCCTATCCATGTAAAACACTTGGAAGCAAGTATATGCTGTGCTGCAAGATACTGTATTCCTACCATAGTGTCTTTGCCCATTGCTCTCCTCTGGGGCAGAGAGCCTTCTGGGGAGCTCCTGACTGCCTTTAGCAGACGAAGGGACGTGTTGCTGATGTTCCATGGCCTGTAACGCAGTATTTGAATTACAGTCTCAGCAATTAAATGGTATCAGGCTTGGCATAAGTGCAGAGGCTGAATTTGCAGTATGCTCATGTGAGGAGTCAGAAATGATTAATGAAGATACTAGTATGTTTTAGGGTTTGTTTTATTTTCCTGTCTTGTTTTGTTATTCTAACTTGGAGAGGAGCCTTAAAATGTACAAAAATCTTGTGGTCTCATCCCAGGTGAGGGCAAGCTGATTCTTCGTTCTGTCTTTTTCCCATGATAATTGAGGACAGGAGGTGTTTTGTGGCTACCCTGTTATTTAGTTGTTTGATGCTTT